CCCTTGCTTATAAAAGTCTATGAATTGCACCGGCCTTTTCAGCTACATTGGGTCACAATGGGAGTTCACATTTAGCTGATTATACATCATGATGGAATTCTACACACCCCCATCTTCTTCAGAGAATCACTGATTCCTAAGATAGAACTGCCCAACAGTAAGTCTGTTTTTAGTTACTACTATGTTTGTTCAGATTTGGATATCCGAAACATACGGTTTGCTCCTGCCCAAACTACCAACAAGTCTAAAGTGTCACTTATCAGTGACCTGTCCTCTTCATTCTTTATCACTTCCCAAATCTTTCAGTCATCAGTAATCATGTTATCTTCCATAACACTGTTAAACATGTTAAATAGTTAGGGGAAAAAACTATCCCCAGTGGGATACAACTAGAAAATGCACCTGCTTGATAATGACTTCCCTACTTACAATTCTACCTCTGTGCCAACCAGCAAGTTTTTAATCCATGTAATGGATGCTACATGAATTTCTTAATTAAAATGTTGGGTAGCATCAAATCAAACGCTTTACAAAAGCCCAACTATGAGTTAACTAACCAAAGCTAGCAACGTAAAGGTATTAGTTAGTATTAGGAGATATAATTTCTGTAATTTAATACAAATGCTCCATGTATATGGATTTATGACCCCCCTTGAACAAACATAACAGAGTATTGATTTTTTTAAGCCCAAAACTCAACGATTATTCATCTTCAAACAAAGATTAAACAAATGCCCTACTGGGTCACATAACCAAGGTGCACTGTACAAGTCTGTACAAAATCTTCCCTTGAAAAGGTAGAGGAAAGGAAGTTCTGAATGTTAGCCTTATTTTTAGCTGCAACACATATGTATACTAGATTTATTTGGAAGCCTAAATCCAGTTTAGACATATATTCCCAAGATCCTCAAATTCCAAACACCACTGATGATGAACTCTGAATAAAAGGCACCTGCCAATGCCATACCACAGGAGTACCTCACCTGCCTGAAGATGGACCATATTTTATTGAACTTTACAGAAGGCTCCTGTGAACCCTGACATACAATTGCTGTCATCTCACATAAATGCAGTAGGTGTCATCAGTCTAAGGAATAACCAGCTAAACAGTAGTCACCCACATTTTCTCTGTAATTTTTCAAACCTTGTACGTTAGGAGTCAGGACTACTTCCCTTTCCTAGTGTCTGAAATGACATTGAGAAAGACAGTAGGACTTTGGCTGTAAAAACCTCACAAAAAAAGTCTTCACATTTTTTCCTCCATTTAAAATCCATTACATAGAATCAAAGATCTGAATACTAATGCTAAAACACAGAACATCTCTGTGTTACCAATTATTAAATACTAACAATAATTGGGAAGTTTAGAACTCTACATTAATAACCAAGAACAAAAGAGATCAAGAAAAGAATATGGGTTTATGACCATTCTGCAAGTGTAAAACAAGAAATTGATTATGGGCATGTTGCCTGGTATAGCTGTGGCCAGAAGCCTTCTAATTCTAGAACAGCAAAGATGTAATAGTTTTATTACTACTAACATTTTTAATTTTTGAAAAAGCAGGGCATGCAACTCCTAGCAAAAATCTGAAGGCATTCATGTGAAAATATACCAGATGGAGTATCAGATTGTTTTTAAGGTACTGTACAAAGATTATATTCATGATGTTCTGCATCCCGTGACTCTAGAACTGACAGAAGCTGCATGCTTAATTGCTAAAACTATTCTTTAACTAATATGTCTGTTATACCCGATCTAGAACTACTTTCCTAAATCACATACAGCAAAGAGATACCTATACTTAAATAGTTTCTAATATAATAATTTCAACAGCATAATTAAAAATATATCATGTGACCCCTCAGGTGGACAATTTAGAGCAAACAATGACTAAAAAGTACAGCAATAAGTCTCATACATGCATGTGCAAGAAAAACATTATGCTTCTTCAAAATCATTTTTAATCCTTTTAAATCCCAAATCACAACTGTGGAGGAAAAAAAAATGGTAAACAAAAGAATTATTAAATAAGGAAAACTAGGCTGGAACAAGTCTGTTGCATGACCCAGTGGGGAGAAGGGAATGGGAAGACGCGAGAGCTATTCGCCCAGTTATCCTAGCTACTGCTTTTGGTATGTGAAATAAAATATTATTGATAAAGATAAGGGAAGAGAAATGTATGGTTGCCCCTCCCTGCCCCCCTTTTGTTTTTTTAAATGGTAGTGTATCCCTTAGGTCGTGCATGTCTTACTTAATCTTTTCTTGCTGAAAAATCCGTAAGGGACATATATTTGTATTATCCATTAGCAGCTACCTACCCTCATATCAATTCAGTGGAAGCAGAGGAAAACTGACTGGCATAACATCTTTCCACGGATGACCTCAGGAATGGGCCCAATAGCCAGAGAACTGCCCACCAATTAAATGCATCTGGGACTTTATGTTTAATTCTTCCTTGTCAACTAACATCCTGTAAGCCAGAGGAGAACATGTCCCTACTTAAGTGTGAAGGGATCTCTTGGAGATTCTTTGAACATGTTCAGTGGGGTTCCAACATCATTCCCTAGAAAGGAATATTGCATTATAGCTCAGTGGAACCAAAACTCTATTTTTTAAAGAGAGAGACTGGTTTATACAGAACACCTCATGAAGTATTCTATGGTTACCCAAAACAAAATATTTTACAAGAATTAATCTTAGCTTTCACTGCTGCTTTGGAAGGGCAGCAATGGAGGCTAATATTGGCAGGCTAGAATTTTTAATGAACAAAAAGCCAGAAGTGTGGAGGTATTTTTAAGATAATTTTTATAGGAAATATGTACAATTTTTAGATGTACCAAATGTGGCCATAAGCAGCAATTTAAACCCATCTTGAAACATGTTTTAAATAGTATTTACCTCCACGCTTTTTGGGAGCCTCAGGTTTCATTTTAACGGTATTTCTGCTTCTAAATTCAGGCCCTTTAAAATCATCTTTGTCTTCATTCAGCACTGGCTCTGGTTGTACAACCACTGTACCTAGAATGATTTCATTTAAAAATTGGAAACCATTACACATCCAAGTGAAGTGCAAGAGTCCTGTTTAAATAAAAGCCAACATTGCACATATTTCTTTTTCCAAAATTACTGTCTGATGACTAACTGATAATGCAGTTCCTAATATACAGGTGTCCATATCAAAAACACCAATACCACATACCTCAAAACTGGCACTTATTACAATTGCAGGGCAGAATGGGCCATGGAGAATTAACTACCCTCTACCCCAAGAACTGGTCCATGCAGAACAGAATGAAATCAGAAAGTCAAAATGGTGGAACCTAATAGGCAGATATGTTGCACCTAAAGGACTTTCTTTAGGACAGCTGATTCTGAATGTATCAAAAGCCTTAGAAGTTACCACTCTGTCTTTTTTGAAAAGCAATATATAAACAAAACTCGTTTTCCCTTTTACAAAATTCTGATAATCGCCTAAAGTTTGAATTTAACCAGAGAACGATCTTAATGTTACAGGAAGAGAAATGTGTTGTTTCATATAAAGAGTTTTAATACTTGGGTCTCCAGGATACTTTGTAGAAAATAAAATACTCTATAACCTCAAAATGAATTTCTTGTACACGGAACTGTAGTAGTCTCTTTGCAATTAAAAAAATCTTACAGGTAAAAAGAAAAGTCAAAAGAAAAGAAACTACAGTTAAGAATGGAAGACGGGGGAGGGTTGCGTTTTGCTTGGGGTTTTTTTGTTTATTGTTTTTAAGTATAATACCTTACCAAAATCCAATATGCCAATTTAAAGTGAATATAATTTTTTTAAACAATTCAAGAGTGGGCTTTCCTTTTAATGCTCTCAAATACTTTAAAAGACAAAGGAGTAAAATTTGAAAATTTAAGAGTCTGCAAATTAATCAAAAGCCAAAATGTATAGGAACACAAACATTACTGCAAAAAAAAAAAAAAAAGAGAGGGATTTTACAGTACGTCACCTGTTCCACAAAAACTATTTGGGTACACACTTTCACCTGCAGTACACAACTCATAGCAGTTTAGCCCTTCATGAAAGAAAGGTAGAGTCCCACAGCAGTAAAGAGTGTGCACACAAGCGCTTACCATGGAGCAGCTGACATGATTTGCTGTTTATCCCAGGGATGGGCAATTATTTTGGACGGAGGGCCGCTTACTGAGTTTTGGGAAGCCATCAAGGGCCGCATGACAGGCAGCTGGGGGCAAATAAGTATTCATTTTCTAAATTTTTTAGGGGCCCTGTGGGACAGATAGAATGGCCTGGTGGGCCACATCTGGCCCGCAGGCTGCATTTTGTCCACCCCTGGTCTATCTCCACGCTCCAATAACTGGCAATAACTAGGTTGCATGCCCATGCCCATTTCGTTCTTAAAAGCAACTTTAGTAGGGTTTGAAAACTTTACAAAAGAAAAAAAAAGTGTCATGTCTCTATTTCTGTGAAAAATATCGGTATCAGTGGATGTTTGATATTAAGTAGTCAATGTACACTGGTCAATCCATAGGTTTAAGTATGTGGGACTCAAAATTGATGACAGACGTCTTTTAACCTTTTGAACAGTAAATCCTCAGTATAAGGTCTTTTTAAAGTTGGTACTTAACAAAAAACAAAAAAGAAAAACAAGTATGAAAAACAAGTGGTTCTTCTGAAGTATTGAGGCGCACTCCATAATTATCTTGGAACTAATCTGTAGAATTTAGACAGATATTTAGACAGAATAACGAAACAGCATGAACTACCTTTTGGCAAGCTTTTCATGTCAACATCATTTTCTGAGTTTTCATTTGAAAAATCTTCATTTACAGTTTCATCTAAGGTTTGCTCATCATCTGATCCAACATATTTTGTTACCACAGTAGGCTTCCTGTACAGAAAAAATATCCCAAATTGTGATTAATATTATATTATATATAGTAATATAGGAGTACATGGTACTCTGCAGTCAAACCCAAGCTGTGTGGAACAAGAATTTTGGAATTCTGTATTGTTTTCATTTTGGGATTTTTTTGCCCCAAACCATAAACAAATCTTGAAGAATAAAATAGATCAAGCTCTCCACTACCCAGTCAGTGGCGAAAGGTAAGCAAAACCCTCATACCACTAAAGCCCCAGCTCACCAACTGAATCTGGCTTGTGAGCTGTAGGTTGCCAGCCCCTGACATAGATCAACCCAACTCCACTAGCTTAAACGGATCTATGCCAATCTGTACTAGCCTGGCTTAGCATGCAGACTGTTTCTGCAGATCAATTTGGGAAGACCCCAAGGTCACACGAGTATTGTGTGCGTTATTTTCAAACTGACCTTTTCGAACGTGATGATCCTAAAGATTTGGATCTTTCTGAAGAACTATTGCCCTAAAAGCAGGAAGAAAAAAAATATTATTAAAATGTCACAAATATCTAGTTGTGAGACCAGGTCATATATGTCAATAGAAATACAAAATGTTGGTATTGTTTACAAATAAGAAAAGCTTAAAATCATCTTCTGCCTAGATTTAAACCAATCGTGTCTCATTCTTATTCTATACCACATTTTAACTACCAAGCACAGAAAAATAATTTTTATAAGCTTTGCTTAATATATACAATTTTAATTACCTTAACACACTGGTGGTATAACAGCATTTTGAGAAACACATTTTAATATAGCGTTTCAACTTACAACATTTAAAACAAGGTTTTAAAACTCAATATAAACATACAATATGTCAGAATATACTCAGGAATATTACTGTGATTTAAGACTTCTACAAAAACACTCTAATGTAATGAATTTGCATGAAATTGAGGCATTTTATTCATGAAAAAGGGTCCCTACATCAGTTTTTCTTTTCTGTAATTCTCTATACTAGGGGTGTCAAACATACAGTCCATGGGCCAGATCCAGCTCCTGGGTCACTGAACTAACCCCATGCACTGGACCCAGCACAGATGGTCAGGTGAGGGCATGTGCTTCATGCAGTGCCCCAAAACAGCCCTGTGCACTGGTTCTGGGGTTGGCCCAAATCTAGCTGTGCCAGAACCAGTGTGAAGGGCCAGTCCGGCAAAGCACTGCATGCAGCATGTGCCCCATGTTGCCCCCTTGAGCTATTGGATCTGGCACTGCAGGCAGCCTGGGGGGGGGGGGGGGG